TCTTGAAAGCTTGTAAGCCAGTCACTTCTTGCCTTTGTAGCCCCCCACCCCCCATTTTGGGTAGCCAATGTCCAAGTTACCCATCCCTGTCTACTCTGTGTGTGGAGGGGGTGGGAATGATTGTTGCTGTAAGGACTTGTTCCCTCTTTTGAGCTACTGCTTCCATAGGTGTAGGTGTAGGCTTGGTTTTGAGGTAGGGACTTTAGAGTTGCACATAGAGTTAATCATTGGCTGTTACCAGAAATTTGGAAGTTTGAGTTCACCTGCAGGCAACTGAGTAGAAAGGCAACAGACTTCAGCTACAGAAAATCTTATAGAGCATAGTTCTCCTCTGACATCCATTGAGCCACCATGTGTCAGAAAAGACTCAACAGCAACTGGGTTTTTGGTTTAATTGAATGAGAAGAGCCATCTCATCAAGAAAACAAATAGCTTAAGCGGATATTTGAAGGAGTGATACTTTCCATTAAGGAAAAAGGAGAAAATCCGATGTTGGAGTGATGAGGTTGGGTGGTGATGAAAGCTGGGTCAAAGTTGGTATTTGTGCTGAGACCTGAAGATGACAATGGAGAAAGAGCTTGAGTGATAGCAACAGGCTTGGCAGAGGGGAAAGGAGGACAGAGGGGTCGCGTGGGGCTGAGGAGCAGGAGAGACCGCGTCTAAGAAGTGGGCATGGCTGGTTGGTGGGGCGTCTTGCAGGCTGTGCTGAGCAAGCAGGAGTGTTTTTAGCAAGCACATAAATGAGGATTTTGAAAGAGGTTTTGCCACATCCTTCTGTGAGAGTGAGGCGTAAACATTGGAAGTGATACAGGAAATATCACTGACTTGTGTCTATTGCTGATCATCCCTTCCCCTGACCAGCTTCTTCACCTGTATGTAATACAGGAGGGAAGATAGATTCCATTTATGTCCCTCAAAGAGATATAATGGGAATTAATTACCATCCGTTCTGTAATATACTGGGAGCTCTTTAGAGAAAAGCACTATATTCCATGAAAGCAAAGCTTTATTCTAATTGTATATGTATTGATTAAGTGACAATCAAAGATAATGCTTATAGGAAAAATTGCCATATCTCAGCTCTCCACACACACGAATCCCATCTGTATAGATACAGGATATATTTAAACTTACATATAAGAGCAATGAAGTGGTCATTACAAACCTCTTTAGCATCTAATCAGACATTATTAATGAGATTAAAAGCTATGTTAATTAGTTTCCAATAGACCAGAATTTTGTTTCAGTGACACAGATAGTTAAATTGAGAGTTGGGGGTGCCCGTTCCAGTTCATAATAGAACAGAGAGCTGACTATCAGAACAACTTTACTTTGGGAGAGTTTCTGGGATGCTTTATTTTGAGCTACCCGATGTCACCATACATGGAAATCATGTTCTCAGTTTTCCCCCAGGTTTTAGAAAGTGTATATTTCAAATTTAGATATAATTGACTATTGACTTTCTCCGCGGGAGAAAGATGAGGCTTTCTGCTCCCGTAAAGATTTACAGCCTCGGAAACCCTGTGTAGGGTCGCTAAGAGTCGGAACCGACTCCACGGCACATAACAACAACAACAATTGATCAAAAAGTGTGCTAAAATTAATTGCAGTAGAATTCTAAATTTTCTTACAGGGAGCTATGGGTTTTGTTTCATTAATTTATCCCGTAATACTCATTATCCATAGTAACTCATGAGGAACATAGTAAGGTTTGTTCTTGGCATACAAAATACGCTGCTCTTTGACTTTATATCGGCCTGTGCTCAGAATCCTAGTGGGTGTTGACTCTCAGATATGGAAACCAAGCTTGGTTGAATTTTTGTTTGTTTGTGCCTTGGTAAAAAGCTAAATGTGTTTTTGGTTTTTTTAACTGTAGTTAGTCTCCATTTTGATATTTGCATCCAGAAATACGATGTTTTGGAAGGAGAGGATTATGCTGACAAGGTGCTTAGCTACTAGGGACCTTCACTGAGACCGTTGGTTGAAATGGTTACATCTAGGGTCCTGTAAAAAGATGTTTTTATATGTTAAAATAAAAAGTATACCCTTATTTTCATCCTATATAATACAGGGAGGCTCATACTAAACTTCCTGCTTGCAACAAATATATATAAACCTGTTAAAGGATAAACTCAGTATCAAGGTTCTGCAAGTATCCTAAGTAGCTATTTATACACTTCAGTAATCTTTGTAATTGGCTTGTCTTTTACTGCCATTAATTAGATGATGTAGTATTCCATTAATAAGAGTGACACACCTCAGCATTTTTACCTTTAATTATAGACTTCACTAGACACTTAAGTTATTGACAAAATGGCCTGAATAGTGTCTGATGTACACATATCTTTTTTTTGTTGTTGCTCTCTTTCAGCACCCTTACCCTTCTGAAGAACAGAAAAAGCAGTTGGCACAAGACACGGGACTCACTATCCTTCAAGTGAACAATTGGTAAGTAATTTGGCTTTGTGTTTACACACAATCTGTTTTCCCCTCTGGCAGCAGCTAATGTTTTGCATTAAGAAGACACACCCAGTTGTTGCTGCTTTCCCTGGTGGCTTGTTGTTGATCCAAAGGTGAACCCAGACTGTTGACTGATAGGCGGGACACTTGCTAGTGAGGAAAATAAAACATTGTATAGTTTTCTACCTCCGTTGTAAATTGGCAGATTTTATACATAGTGTTAAGTATGCGGCCATTGGTTTCCATAAAGATTACAGCCTTGGAAATTCTTTGGGGCAGTTCTCTCCGTCTAATGGGGTCATTATGAGTAGGAACTGACTAAAGGGCAAGGGGTTTGGTTTGGTTTGGTTTATAGGTATGTGTTCATGGAGCTATGGAGGTTAAGTGCTCTGACTTCTAACAGAAAGGTCGGCAGTTCAAACCCACAGTCATTCCCTAGGAGAAAGATGTGATAATATATAAAGATGCTGTTGTTGATGATAGATGCTATCAAGTTGGTCCCAACTCATAGTGACTCTGTGTAGGGTTTCTGAGGGGCAGCTGGTGGGTTTGAACCTCCGACCTTGCAATTCAAACCAACCTTGGGGTCCATTGCTGACCAAACAGTGCCACACCAGGACTCCCTGTAAAGATTTACAGCCTTGAAAACCCAATGAGGCAGTTCTGCTCAGTTCGACAGGCTCACTGTGAGTGTGAATTATCACCTTGGCAGTTGATTTTGTTTTGTTTTGGTTTTTTGTCTAGATAAGTGTTTAGTTCACATTCATTATGTTTCTGTATCTCTCTTTATGGCTCCTTCTCCCTCCCCACCCCCACACACTTTCAACATAATCAGTACACACAGTTGTATCATCCTATTTTCTAGGAAACAAGAAAATTCACCATCCCATATCAATCAGGTTTTATATTCCTCAAATAACACAATTCAGTTAGGTTCTGCTAGGGCTGTATATTCAAGGATGGTCTCTCCTTTTCTCTTATCTCCAGTAAATTGAAAGAGAGAAATTATTTATGTTTGTGTTTTGAAGCTATGCAAACTTGACGTATCTCAGGGGTGTACACTACTGTTTCTGAATAAATGTGTAAATTCCTGATTGGGGATAGCTGTGATTATGTGCCAAGCTCCAGCCAATAATATTCTGACTTAATGTACATTAATGTGGCAACGAGGCTTTGAGAAAGTATGATGTATTGGCTTCTGTGAGTATGCTGAAAGTCAGGCTTCATATCATCACCCAGGGCTAGTGTAATATTTGAAGGGTATCGAAATCTAATATCCTCTAAACCTAAGTGTATCTAATTAATTGTCCTAATAGTTTCAGATTCATGTTTATAATGGGGAAACCTTATCCTCTTTGAAGTAAAACCCAGAAAAGGCCCAAAGCTTGGTTGGTGAGAGGGGAGAGCTAGGGAGGCATGATCTTGCAGACAGAACTATCTCTGTCTGTTCAATACATGTCAGAGATTAATATTACAGAATCTCTGATTACGTGGCCTAATCCATTTTGGTGAATAAATTTGTTCTTGATGTCTATTGCACCTACATTAACAGACCCTTCTCTGTTAGAGCGCCTGAGAGCCTTTGGGAGAGATTTCTGATATATTAAACCCCATTATAGAAAATGTAATTTCTGTCAATATAATCCTGTGTATTCTTCAATTTAGTATTTTAGAGATAACAAGCTACTTACAATATATTTGCCTTTGGAGGATTAATTTACAAAGTGGACTATCTGCAAGACACAGACTGACTCACATAAGCATTGCTTGTAAGGGTTATCAATTTCTATGACCTTACCGCAGCCTTGGGAGATCAATTTTTTGCAGCAGCTCTTTCAGTCAGTGGATAGGGAACCGATGGCAGGGTTACTACATCTAAATGTGTTACCAGGAGTACCTGCTGCTGCTAAAATGCTTTGGTTTTCTTGTTATTATATCTTAATTTTCTACAAGTTAGTGGCAATCTTTGAATTCAACCTTTCAAATTGTTCAAGTTGATATTATAGGGTAGACTGTATTTGGATGCATGTATAAATTCACATCTAAAAACAAAACGAAAATGTAAACTGATGGTGAGGTGATTTTAATACAATCCAAAGGCTACACAAACGTTGCATTTCTTTGGGAAATGTTGCAGATTGAGGGCAAAGAAGTGGTGGGGCCAGCTCTCTAATTAGGGAAGCAAAGTCTCTGCTGCTGTTCAAGTGATGTATCACACATGCCATCTCGCTTCCTCCTCAGTGTTGCTAGCAAACTCTGTCCAAAACAAGGTTACCAGAGAACACAATAAAGTACAAGTCACTTTCTCTGAGTGGACAACCTCACGATATATTTCTTGTGAATGCAGAGGCAGACAGAAGGTCCTGTGAGCCCCAGAAAAGCACATTTTTGTTTTCCAAGACTCTATACAAAATTATATATTGGAAATCATTGACTGTTCTCGGTCAGTTAATACAATCCTGCTTTCATGGTAGTTACAAAAAGAAAAAAAGATCCTTTAAAACATTATAGTTACAACACATACCAGAAAATAATTTTTATTTTAAGAGTATGTGGAGATGTTGCCCTGAACAACATATTGATATTCAATTCAGTTATATGCACAGGTATATCACTTAAAAGGAACCTGAGACTTTGGTCCATGGCCACCCTTCAGGTCTGGAATGGATGGGACTCAACTTGGAGGCCCAATTTTCAGTCAAGCAGTGAATAAATATGGAGAGGGGACAGAACACTAGTGAATTATGCTCACCATGGAATGGTTAACCCTTTAAGAACAAAAGGACAACATTTACCTGGGGACAAAGTTCAGAGGGGTTGGGAAGGAGGACAGAATGGAAATAGAAGGGAGGAAGTGGGATAACTCTCGTTCCATGGAGGGGATTGCAGTCCCTGAGATGAAACAAAGTGTGTGAATTGTTGGATGTAAAACTGATGATTTGCTCTATAAACCTTCATTCTTTTTACAATAAATTTTCTAAAAATTACTTTTACATTATGTGGGATGAAAATACAATTCTGTTCTTTAGTTAGGACCTTGTGTAGTATGTTTGTGTTTTCTGTACTTATTTGTGGAGTTAGAAGTGACTTTTGTTTGCACTTTGTTGCTATGTGTTTGACACCTATTTCAACTCTGACAACTTTGTGCTAGAGAATTTCCCTGAAGTAAGTAGAAATTATAATGGTGGTAGTATGCCGTGGAGTCTATTCTGACTCATATCAAGCCTGTATAGGGTTTCTGAGGCTGTAAATCTTAACAGGAGCAGAAAGCCTCATCTTTCTCCCGTGAAATGGCTGGTCGTTTTTAACTGCAGACCATGAGATTAGCAGCCCGACTCCTTTAGAAATCATAATAGTGGTTTGTTGTTGTTAAGTATGTGGAGTCAGTTCGGACTCATAGCGACCCTGTACAGGGTTTCCGAGGCTGTAAATCTTTACGAGAGCAGAAAGCCTCATCTTTCTCCCGCGGAACTGCTGGTAGTTTCGAACTGCTGACCTTGAGGTTAGCAGCCCATTTCGTAACCACTACAGTACCAGAACTCCTTTAATAGAGGTTAGTTTTGCTTGAATTTAAGGGGAAATGACATCCCCATGTTTGATTTGAATTTTAAAAGGCTTACTGATTCCGATCCAGACTTTCTACTTTTAAGGAATTGATAATACTTTGTTTAACCCCTTTAGACTTTGAGTAGGAAATCTGTTTCAAAAATGGGGAAACCCAAGTAGTACCACATAGAAACCAAAATGTTAGCGAATCTAAAATTGTGGCTTATTTGAATTCTAAAAAGCAGAATAAACATTGAGTGGTTTTGCTTTTACTTTATTGTAATAAAGAAATTATACAAAGCTTCTTGGAGAGTTTGTAATCAGTTTTCCTATATAAAACACCAGCCCAAGTTACTTCCTTCTGAAAAAACAACAACAAAAAATTCTTGTTAGTACTTCAGCAGTTTCCCTTCATCTCACTGAGCCACAACTTTTCAAAAAAATTGTATATTCCTTTCTGGATTTCTTATAACTTGTTAACACACATGTACATTTTTGTATGAGCTATGAGTCACTGTAAGTCACTGTTGGAGAGATTTAATAAAATGCCGAAGGGCAGTTGGGTGTAGATCAGTCATAATTATTGGCAGCAACATAACATATTGAAATATACAACATGTAAGTGAAAAATATAAACTCATGTCTGGTTGTTAGCTTGTCATAGAAACCCTGACTGACATAGCTTGAAATTAGATTTGGATTAGAAAACGGGACAAAAGTTTGCTGTATTATAATTATTCTTTCATTACATCACTAAACTAATTTTACTCTTCTTTAATTGACATATAAGTGATATATTCTACCTCCTTGGCTGAACATTTCTAAAGATGATGGGCCAGAGGTAGCTGCAAGAGGGAATTTAAATGTAAAATTAGAAAACCAATTTGATTATTTAAGGGAAATTTTGAGAGAAAAGAAATAATTATTGTTTATTTGGTCTACTTGTCAGAATAAAAACTGAAGGAAAAATCTTTTAGTTATATCATAGTTACAGAATTTGGGGCCTCTGATTGGATGTCAAATTCATTAGATGAGAAACCTTAGGCCAAGTGCATGTCAATAAATTATTTAGGGATTAAGGCAATTATGCAAACAGTTAAGGGAAAATATTTTACCTAAGTTATCCAAATATTTTAAATAAACATATATATTTTTGAAAGCCCTGACTTCCATAGCTAATTGTTTCAATATTTCAATCTAGCGTGCTAATTGTAGACTTAGTCTTAAAGCCTCATTACTTTTGAAATGTAATGTATGTCACAAATTTATATATTCTTCTTTCTTTGTTCTCCCACTTTCAATTGTAATTTGATCTCAAATTGATAAATAATTATATTTAGGGATTTTGAATTTTTCATTGTTGTCATAACAAACATTTTTAATTTGTTCTTCATCTAAATAGAAGCTTATAATCCAGGGATGGTTATTTCACTTTTTATATA